GGCGGACGCGATGAACGAGCAGATCGGGTACCCTGACATGCTGACCAACCCGGCCGAGCTCAACCAGGAGTACATCATGGTATAACGTCTCGCACGGTCTCGCCCCCCCCCCGGCACCTTCGCCGTGCTCCTCACTCTCTCCGTGTGCCCCTGCAGCTGAACGTGACTCATGGCCAGTTCCTCGTCAACATCCTCAATGTGCTCCACTACGAAGCGTACCACAACTTTCAGAACCTGCGCCAGCCGGTGAACAGGGACAAGTGGTCCACGGAGCATCCTTATTTTCGTGTGTGTGTTTATTTTCCCGGTATATCCTCAACCTTTTACAAAACTTTTTTTTCCTCTAATCTTCACCTTGCCTTTCTCGTCTATCGCCCGTCTCAGACGCGGTGCCCCCGGAACTGATGCCGGCGCTCCCCGACGGGAGCCCCGGGTCGCTGGCGCTCCCCCCCACCCCCCCTCACGCTGCTCGTCGCCGTGGTCTCCGGTCTCGTCTGCACGGCTGCCGGCGCCACTTGCTCCATCATCGCCTTCCGAAAGGTGTGTACGCCCGTCCCTCGTCACCGTGGGGGGTCGCGTTCGGCCACAGAGTGCATGTTGATGACCAAACTCCGAATTAGAGAGCTGCAACGCATTGCTCGCTCGTTGCAGGTCTCTAGCCCCGAATCGCCCGAAAGTAATCGTGAGAAGACTTTTTGAATAAGCGAATATTAACTTATAAACCGGTGTGATATACTCAATGGTACCTCTTTCGTCGCAGACTACGAGATCTACCCGTAAGCCACGCGCCACGTTCAGCCTGTCAAACGCGACGCCCGGGGCGGGGCCGGTGGCGGGGGCGGGCACGCTGACGCCCAGCAAGTCGCTGGCCAGCTACGTACTCGCTGCAGCTGCACACCTTCATCCAGCGTGACTGCTACGCCGAGGGGCCGCCACCGTCGGCGAGCCGCAACGCGCACTCCCGGTCCAGGAGCAAGTCGTCGCTGGGGGCGGTCTCGGGGGCGGCCGTCGCCGTCGAGGCCCGGGCGTTGGACGGCGGCGACGGCACCGCGCCCACGAGCGCCACCCATGACCGACAGCCCCCCAGACGGGCTGAGTCTCGGTGAGTCCTCAACTCCGACGTACCGGGTGATTCAGAGAAGACGCAGGTGCGGGCGGGTTTGCCTACCCGCTCTGCCCGTAAGGCGCCATAGCCCCTTGGGTAGGCAAACCCGCCC